AGGACAAGCAGAACCAAGGGAACTCAAAGCGTTGAACGGAGAGTAAAGAAAGAAATTATGTATCAGACGCGGTAGTTTCGGTCTGACTAGGAACGGAACGTTCTACTGTGTACAGAACGAAACGACCGAACCTCTCGTATCTTTATCCCCGTACCACTGAATGATAAGATATCCAATCATTTTTTTTTCTCAACTTAATACAGGAACGTAGTTCCACTGCATAACCAGAACAGGCCTTAACATTCAGTCGGTACAGGAAGAGTTAATCGAAAATAAATTAAAGTAGTCACCAGATACATTAAACTAAAAACAGAATTACTGGATTTAATCTTGTTATCATAAAACAGCTACGTCCACTTCAAGATATGCAAATGTAATATTGAAAACTGCAAACACATGAACTCACGCAAAGAGTACAAGGTTTGTATTAGTATCCAGTAACCGTGGAAGAAAATCCCAAAACCGAGAGAACTAACGAATAAAATGAGTAAACATAAAAAGGTTAAAAAAATGGGGAGGGGGGAAGAGAGAAAGAGAGAGAGAGAGAATGAGAGAGTTTGGTAGGCGGGCGGCTTACCGGCGGACGTCCTCGACTTGTTCCTGGGCTTTTGCTGCTGCTGCTGCTGCGCGGACGGCGAGCTCGGCGTGTTGGCGTGCGCGTGACCGACCAACAACTTCGAGTCGACGTTCACGCCGGCCACGCCGGTCGTGTTCCCGGCACCGGCGCCGGCGGCCCCGTGGTGACCGAAAATACCGGAAACCGCGGTCCCGTTGTGCGGATTGTGGGACGAAGACGAAGACGACGACGAGGAGGCGCCGTGATGATGGTGGTGGTGATGGTGGTGGGTGGTACTAGGATACTGCAGGTGCTGGTACATGTTATACGCGCTGGTCGCCGGGTCGTATTGGGACCCGGAGGTGGCGTGGTGGCTGTTGGACGCGGCCGCAGCAGCCGCAGCCGCGGCCGCGGCCGCGTAGCCGTCCCTGCACGACGGCGAGGACGCACCACCGCCGCCACCGCCGTTGTTCCCCTGATACGCGTTCTCTTGCTGCTGCTGTTGTTGCTGCTGTTGTTGCTGCTGCTGCGTGCTCGCCTGTTGGCTGCCCGACTGGTTATTACCTTCGCGCTGCTTCACTTGTCCGGTGGCACCGCCGTTGCTCCCGTTCCCGTTCCCCGCGTTCCCGCTCCCGTTGTGCTGCTGATGCGGCGGCGACGGTGCCCCGTGGTGGTGTCCCAGCATCACGTTCGGTTTCACGTCGCAAGAGCTGGCTCCGCCGGCGCCCAACGCGTCCTGGTGGTGCATGAACGCGCCCATGACCGCCGCGTGCGCGACGGCCGCTTGGTACTCGCTACTCGCGCCTCCGCCTAGTCCCGACAAAGGATTGCTGCTGTTGTTATTGTTCGCGCTACTGGAATTATTGTTGTTGTTCGTGTTGGAGGTGGTGCTCGCGGTTATGCTGTCGGGCGTCGCGTCTTTAGGCGGTGTCGGCGGAAAGGAGAACAGGTGGTGTCCCGCACCGGCGCCCCCGTGACTCGAAAGGCTCCCGGTGGTCGGCGGTAGAGACGAGCCCAGTGGACTCTGCGGTTTGTCGTCGCCGCCGGTCGTCCCGGTCGTCGTCGGGAAGCCCCACGGCGTCTTGGACGTGTCCGCCCCGCTGCCGGACAGCCAAGGGTGGAGCACGGAGCTGGGAAAGTGTGGACGACACACTTGGCTCACCGGGCCGCCCGTCACGCCGCTGCTCGACATCCTCGCTGGAATAACGAAGAAATCGCCTAATTAGATTCAACGATTCTTTCGCTAATTTAACGATTATTACCAAACATGAACGTTCATTTAGAAGTTCTTTTGGAAAAATTGTACAGAAATTTTTTCATTTCATCTGTTATGATATTCATTAACACTAGATTGCCCAAGGAAGTCATTTTGATTGCTTTTGGACAAATGTACAAATAATAATGCATAAATTATTTC